ATCAGTAGCCATGTGATCTTAATAGAGAGATAAACAAAATATTATGAGAGAAAGTAAAATCACAATTACTGGTGCTTTTAGAATGAAAGAAAACATGGTATATCTTTAAGTAACTTTTACTAAGAAACATACTTGATTTGTAGGATTGAAATGATTTTGAATTTAACAAATGTTGCTGAGTATTTAACCCTAATGTTAATCCTGAATTCTCTTAGTTGTTTTTTTATGAATTTTGTGTTAGTAAATCTCTTATGGTTTTATAATGCAATTTTTGTTTTAATGTAATCCTGTATTTATATCTAAATCAAGCTTGAGTTGTTTTTTATTATTCAGATTACATGTAACTTGTTTAGTAAATTAGTTTGATGTTGTGATTAAATTAGTTATTAAGGTGAGAAACACTTGTCACTGCCTATAACAGTAGAATTTGTGTTAGTAGCTTCTGTAATGAACCTCTTTGTGGTTCTGAGGTAATCCCTTTCCCCATTTGAACTAACCTTTTACCTTAGGGCTAAGCTTGGGCTTGTGGTTAGCATGCTGCAGGTTGTAAGGCCCAATATTTGCACTGTAATTGCAATCATAGTTGTAAGAATTCTTATGAATCTCGTTATTGTGGTGGAAAGTTCTGCTGAGTTCCCTCTGGTCAGTAGTTGAAAATTAAGATGCTATACCAGAACCATAGGATTCTAAGATCTGACCCTTTATTTATTGTGTGCATAAGGTGCTGTTCAAAAACACTGCGTAATGAGATAGTGGTGGGAGAATCCCACATGCATGAGAGATGGCTGTACTCACTAACCACCAATGCCATTGTTTGGGATCTTGCTAACATTCTTTTAGATACTAGAGTCACATAGAAGTCTAGGGGCTGGCTTAACTTGGAGTTTTCCCTTCTAAATTTGATATATAATGCTATGCTTTTGACCACTTGTCACTCTTCTTCTTCTTCAAATAACCAGTGAATCATTTACATTCACAAAAGAAGGCATTCTGCTCAAATTATGAGGATCTCATGTTGACTGTGCCAACTCTCAAGAAATATTTTATGAAATCTCCAAAAAAAGGAAATAACTTGTGTATTCTCAGCCATGAATCAGAACCAGTTTGTGAAACATTTGTGATAAGAGAGAAGTCCCAGATAAAGAAGGAAACCATCACCTCAGCACTGTGACTACCTAATTTGAACATATTAGATTTTCCTTTCTCCTTTAATTCATTTCACTGTTGATATTAAGACCTCAGTGTCTGAGACCTGAGGAATCGACATCGAGACTGAAATCTTAGGTGTTGAGACCAGGACCACGTAATAAATTACACAATCGAAAATAAAGAAGAATAAAAATAATTTGTGTCAAACAAACTTTATTAACATTTAAACTGCAAATCTTTTACATGCTAACCCCAGAGTCTGTTTTAATGCCTCCTCCTATGAAAAGAAAATGAATGAATAATAAAAAGGTCAGTAAATATAATAAAAGGAAAACTTGGATCACAGCAGATTTACTAGACATGTTGAATATCAGGGATAATCGCTAACATTTAATGTAAATACGTGCACCAGATGAAGTTCTGAAGGGTGGTCTTGAGACCTACAACATTGATTCATGTTTGAGTTAAACTTGCATTTTAATTGCTTTAATTCACTTTATTATCATTAATTTAATCATTATATAATTATGTCAGTGTGTTACTCAAGTTTTATTTTACTTTTAACGTAGGTACACTGAATTATAACTTGTAATTTGTGTTATAATTACTATTTTGCACTTTTTTTAGTTTGATTTGTTATACTTATTTATGCATGCTTTAAGTTTATTTTTTATTCTTCATTTTAGGCCATATTGCATTTAATATTGTTGCCTAGAGTACAGTTTGTGTTATTTTTATGTTGCTTTCCACTTTATCAGGCTTATTGTAAGCTTGCATCATATTATATTCAAATCATTTAGTATTTTATTCATTGCATCTAGTTATGAGAATGATTGTATCAGTGATTGAAACTTCATACCTTTTTAATAAACTAATCTTCCTTACTGTAAAAGCTGCAACTTGTAATAAAATAATACTTACTCAGTAAGTAAACTCTAAATGAAACTATAAATTTATGTTCAATTTTCTTCATTTTGAGCTTGCCCTGTATTATATTTTGTTTATGCTATAATTTAGTTTGGTCATTATATTTTATATTCTATTTACTTTTATTATGCAGTATTGATTTATTTTCTGTTCATCATTCACTTCATTTTGTTTCATTTCACACCTTATTTTGAGCTGTACTCTATTATAATTACTTTGAGTTTGCTTGGCTTTATTTTGTGTTGTGTTTTACTAACATGATTAATTTGAGTTTTACTCTTTTATTTTGTATTTAAGGTTATTGGCTGTCAGATAATTAATGTTTTTTAAAGATTTTCTTTGTCTGTCTGTTTGCTAACCTTATGTGTTATCTTCTACATTCTGTAACTTCCTCGTTATTATACAGCAGTTGGTCTGCTGTATAATACAGAATAATGATTTCAACAAAATGTCATAACATTATTCACGTATCTAAATTAATTCAGTTTACAATATGGTGCAGTAAAATGAACTCAGAACCCCATAAATTTCACCATTATAAGAGGACTCTTGTAAGAGAGCTTGTGCTTGCCTGATCAAGCTTCTTTATCATCTTTTCCTTGGATATAAGCCCTACCAAGTCTCTTGCCAAACTGGCATCTTACGATTTTTTTTTCTCTATTTTTGTGGGGGTTCATCTGTTTATTGAT